AAGAGAAGGGATGTGATCTGGGTACACTGGCTTTGCTGACCTTTGCCGTTTCTCAGTGTTACTGCTGCACTTTGAAGGCTGGAGGGACCTCAGAGTGTCATCCGTCAGTCCTGCAGCTCACTGTTTAAGCAATGGGAACTTCACCAAAACAAAGTAAAAGGGAAACAGGATTAAAAAGCAAACAGAGATATTCAGGAAGAAAAGCTGCACTGCCTGCCTCAAATCCACCACATTCCCCCCCCCCCCCCCCCCCCCGTGTTAACAGCCCACGCTGTTAGCAAAGATTAAATGCAGTCAGAAAACTCGAGAAATCCACAATGGGTCATTTTTCTACCTGAGATTTCAGGAGCAGATTGAGCTGCCTGTCCAGGGGCTGCTTTTAATGAACAGTACATCTTACCTGAAAGTGCTTTGGGTTCCCCCTCTGCTCACTCTGGACACACAGATCATCTAATAGAGGGCTTAATTGAAGTTGATGTACATTGTGTTGTTCTGTTTGATAGTTGTTATCCAAGTGAAAAAAGGAAAGTGTTTTAAAGATACAGGAAAGTGCATTTATGGCCCTAAAATAAGTCCTCCTGCTGTGCAGCACTGCCAGAACAGAACATGTTCCTTTCCATGGGGAGCGCTGCCAAAACAAAGCAAGTTCATTCCCACAGGGGAGACATAACCCACAACAACTGGAAGAAGCCTCATGTTCTCAGGGGGGATTTGAATCACCCTGAGATCTGCTACAGAGACAACCCAGCAGGGCACAATCACTCCTGGAGTGCACTGATAACTATGTGATGCAGTCAGTCAAGGAGCTGATGCCAAGCGGGGCCTCGCATACCTACAGATGAGGAAGAACTGGTTGAGAACGTGGAGGCTAAAGTCACCATGAGGTGGAGAAGTGTAGGAAAAAAAAAAAGCAAAAAGCCTTTGGCCTCTTCAGGCACCAGCTTGGAATACAGCCCTGGAAGAGTCCAGGAACGCAGGCTGATTCTCAAAGATCACCTCCTTTCAGGTCAGTGATAATCCAGGCCAGCAAGCAGGAAATTAAGGCACGATGGCAGGAGACATGCATGGTTGAACAAACTGAAACAAGAAATGGAAGCAGCAGCAGGTGACCCTGTTCAACCTGGAGAATAGAAGGCTGAGATCTTATCTATGTGGACAAATTTCTCAAGAGAAGCAGGGAGTACATTGCCAAAAACATGGAGCATGACTTTTCACAGTGGTGCCCATTAACAGGAGAAGAGGTAGTGGGCACAAACTGAAGTGCAGGGAATTCCATTTAAACATAAGAAATTCATCCTTTACTTTGAGTGTGGTCAAACACCAGAATGTGTTGTATGGAAAGATGGAGTTTGAATCCCTGCAGAGACTCCAAACCCAGTTGGTCATGGCCTGAATGAGGTATGCACACACACACTGAAATGCTAAATATTTTTCAGAGCTTTCTCAGGAGGTGCAGTGAGTTATAGCCAATCCAAAGGAATCACCAACACAGTCAGGCATTTGTTTCTCTGCTTCCTAAAAACAAGACTTCATTTCCAAAGGCAACACCCTTTCCTCATTTTTCACAAGAGCAAATTCTTCCTTTCCTACATAACAAGCCCAACCATCCCACCAATTGTATGGAAAGGGAGCTGTTCCTCCCCAAGAAACTTGCATCATAAAGGCAGGGCGAGAAATTCTCATCCAAACAAAAATCTGAAAGGATTAATTGCATCGCCCATCATCTCAGCACCAAACCTTAACAAGGGATCTACTTCTCTTAGCTTTGTCCTCCTGGGAGAAAGGAACCTCCTTCCACCAAAATCCCATAGCATCCCTGAGCAAACACAACTTCCTAGCCAACAGCTGTACAAATCACTGCAAAGTTTAACTGCACACCTCACTGTACGTATATGCCAGAAGAAAAACAAAAACCACGACCAGGCCATATTTTTCTGCAGGCACAGTTATTAGAACAATCGTGCTTTGTTAACAAGCTTAGCCTGATCCAGGGAGGAATAGAAGATGACCAAACTTCCCGTTCTCCCAGGTTGTCAGCTCTTTTGCTGCTGAGCTTCCAGGCTACAGCTCAAGGCAGCCAATTTAACATCAGAACTTGTTACAACCTGAGATAAAATTACGAGGTCTTAGAAAGGGAGTGATATCTCTATCCAGCTTTCTGATTTGCTTGTTGTTGATCTGATTGCTCTTGTTATTGAATTATCAGTTTTATTTGCATATTCACACGCTTACGTTGGAGGCCTTTGTTGTGGAAACACTCTACGTTCACAATCAGCATTTTCCTATCTGCCCTAATTGAGCAACGCATTATTTTTGTGACCCACTGCACTCTGAAAAGGCATCGCCCACTCACCAGTTTCTTGCCATCCGCCCAAAACTGCAGCACTCTGGAGGAGCTGACAGAAATGAAAACAGCTCTAAAGGTAATCAACCACCTCCACAGTGCTGGAGGCTTCACACCATTGTCATGCAAACAAAAAACCTTCAGGAGCCAGAAATTATCTTCACATAATATTCCAGATCATTTTAAAAAAGCAATAATTCCCTCATTTATAAATATTTCAGGATGCCATTTTTCCAGCAACATCCAGGTAGTTAAAAAATACCTCTTTAAAGTCTTTAAAGGTCAGAAGCCCAACATAGCCATTGCATTTGTCTTCTGTAATCTACACAGTAGTAACATTTCAACTCTATAGAAACTGATTTTTCTTTGAGCACATTCTTGGTAACATCATCTCATTAAACACACCATCTTCGAAAACCCACCTCTGTGAGATGGCCCCGTGCCCAACTGCTAAAATATCCACACTCTTCCTATGAATTTAACCAGCTTCATTTTCGATCCCTAGTAGTATTCCACATCTGTTGAATTTGAGTAACTCGTTACTAATCATTTACTATGCAGGTATTTATCAACTGGAGTTAAACCATTCTTCATCTGTTAAGTTAAAACCAAAATGTTGCTGTGTTTTTTCCAGTTCCTCATTTACTCCTATAGCCCTTCCCAGAACCTCCTCCAACCTTTTATAGTGTCGTGAACTGCTTTCCCTGGAGCGGTTACACTAATGCAAACAGAGAGAAGATGTACATATTTTAACTGCATGACGATCTTTGATCGCACAGCTTCCTTTAGCCAAGCAGTGCATTAGGAAGGGCTGTACGTGTGCAGCCCATTAACAAACATACTTTCCCAGCTTCAATCACTTTTTCCTTGTGTTTATGTTCTGGAAGCACATGGCCGGAACTACAGTTATTTCCTCCCAATTGTGTAGCTTCAAATTTCTGTTTGCAGTGCTGTGTTTTGCAAAGTAAGCCAGGCTATTTTACAGCAGCCATTGATTTATACTTCAACAAACCGCCCTTCCTCTTCAGGTTGTTGGATTTTACCTCAAGTAACCCATCCATATACCTACCCACCCTAACACACAGATACCAGGAGCTCATCTGCGAACCCTCGGTGGTCTTTGCAACTGCAGTGTCAGCCAGCATCTCTAATTCATTCCATTCCTTATGTTTACTTTATATTACCTCAGGCTGTGGTTAAATACTGTGAAGATATTGAGTCTCTCGAGGGCAGCTATCTGGCCCTCCCCAAGAGCTCATCTGTCAGGAAGCCATAAATCATTTCACTGACAGCACCTTGCTTCCTAAAACAAGCAGGTCGCTATCTGCTGCCCCTGCCCAGCATACATAGCCCTTACACTCCTCCACAGCCTCTGTAGCGTCCACTTTCAGAGCCACAACCTGTCTGGAACTATAACATTGACATCAAATGAATGGGGACACAAGGCAAAATTATTTCATTACCACTCAATCCTCAGCACTTTTTTTTGACTGCTTGTCATCATGGCTTTGAGCAGGACATGCACAGTTAATTACAAAGCTGCACCAGAACCTATGGAGGTGAAGGACTGCAGTCCTTGAGATGGTGAAGAAGTTACCTGTGGTTCAAGTTGTACCACATCTCTCTAGGGTGAGCTGCATACTTTTGTCAAAGCGGTTCTTGAGGAGATGATGTCCTCTCCCACCAGGACAAGCTGAAGCCACTGCAGCCAAACCACCCAGAGGGCCAGAGGTTTTCCTAGTCAGCCATATGAGCTTACAATAAAACAACAGAAACAAAGCATTTTCTGACTGATGCACATCAACCTTTCCCACAGCAGGGCAGGACACTGCAGCCTTTGCAGCTCTGGACTTTCAGCATTGCAGTTTCAAGATTTTTGCACCGTCACATGGAAACCTTGCAATCTTTGGGATGCCAAAAACCCAGATTTCTACTTCATGACAATAAGCACTGAACCGTTCTTTTGGGTTATTGCCATAGTGCTTCTCAGTAAACACAGACTGCAGAGGATTTACATGTATTTAAACATGTATTTAAATATTATTCCCCCCCCCCCCCCCATCTGGAAAGAATTATTTTGCAAGGCAAACGACAGCCATTTGACTCATACAAAACAACACGAAACCAAGACTGTCAGTAGATTTATACCACATCCTTTAGGGTTTTCGTTTAGTTTCACATAGTGAAACATCTCATGGCTTTCATAATTTTCAACAGATAACTTGAAATTGGCCATACCACAAGCACGGCAGTGGATACTGAGTTTCCAATAATGCTTAACTGATTTTTTTTTCTATGCTCTGAAGAAATAAAGACCTCATCACATGCAACAATAAAATATGCTATTTTCCATGTATTTGACCATTTTTTTTTAGATATTTTTCCTCCTCAAAGCAGCGTGTTATGCAAAAATCAGTTGGTAAGATGACGTAGCACACTAATCACAGAGAGATGTGGTTGACATGAGCCTAGATGTATTTTTGGAACAATGTTAAACTTTAATCTCATTCTCTGAGGTCACAGTTTCCCAAACAAATAAATGGACCGCCGCTTTTGTGTGTCCTCACCACCTTTTTTTTTTTTTAAACTATAATTTTTATTTAAATAAGACACAGGAACTTCTATACCGAAAAAAATACAAAACAAAAGCCACACATTTCCTTGTGTAAAGCAATATTGTGTGATAACTTGAATACTGTTCAGCACAGTGGCTAGAAATAACAGTACAACTATGTACAAAACTTTAAACAATATTTGACAAATTTCTACAGCTGGATGTAGAATACAATAGAGATAAACAACTGCTGGGAAATTTACATGGCAAAGCATTAGCTTTAACGCATTTGGTTCAAAACCTTCAAATCTGCTAAGAACAAATGTGCAATTCAATTAATATTTAGTTTCTCATGGAAAAAAAAAAAGAAGTACACAATGGCATTGCAGTTATTGTACAGAGTTCACCGCTGATCTAAAAACAACTCATCGTATCCCCCAGTCATCTAACACCACCAACCGAGACTACGATTTCTTATCTGGACATAACCAGAGCAAAAAAAAAGGTCATTGTACTGCAATGTTAGTCTAGAAGGAAAAATATCAAAAGGAATCGATACTTACATCGTGAGTATTTTCTCCCCTTTATCTTCAATCTATAAAATATATAGTGTTTTCACCTAGGCCTGAGATTAGTAGGGTTAAAGATGGCTGTTGTGTTTCAAGCAGGATTTTCACGTGAAAATGGTTAGAGACAGACCTCTCTCCTCATGTTTTCTGCAGGGGAGCCAAAAACCAGTTACTGTTTTATAGGCTGCAAATTCCACCTTGTAAGGCAGTATTAACAAAACCTTGGTAATAAAAAGAAACCACGCTTTATCTCCAAAGAAAGCATGTATTTAGTGAGCAGTTATTGGTTGTTCACTCTCACCCCCCTCCATTTTCATCTCCAAAAGTGGGAAAGAAATAAAAGAATAATGGAGCAAATTTAAATGCTCGGTAGCTGCAGGCTACTAATCTCTTCAATTCCTGGAAAAGGTGAGCTTTACTCTCTTAGGAGCAGACAGCATAAATGTAATTCCACTGAGCTGAAAGCAATGGAGCAAGAACATCAAGTTTATTTTGCCTTTGGGGTCCTCTTTGTATCACAGGAAATTATCTCTACAAGCAATGCTCTTCTTGTTCCGGTACAACAGAAGAGCACCACTAACCCTTTCTTGCCATTTCGAGAAAGCGTCCAGCCTGCAAAACCAGGATTATCATTTTTTTATTATTACAATTCATACTTAAGGAGGGGGGAGAACACACTTTTACACATACAGCTTAAAGTAAGCAAAAGTTATGGGAGAAGCTTTGATTAAGTAACAAACTTAAAACTATTGTTTTCCCCATCCCTCTTAAAACACCCACTTGCTACTTGCGGACTTCAAACACAATTACTCACTACATAAATTAAATGCTGCTCATCTAACACTGCTCGACAAAATCTGAAAACCTATTTCCAACCAGCAAATGAATGAGCATTTCCAAAAGAGAAACTAAACATTAATTTGACTTTTAGACGGTAACAGTAGCATTTCACATCCTTAACTGCCAACAAAAACATGAGAGGAAATCCCCATCACCCCGCCGTGAAACCTGAAAGAATTTCTGTCCTCAAACAAAAACATTCTTGTCTTTCAAAATCCTCTCACACACAACATGGAATGTTTCTCATGTACAGCCTAGTACTGAACACTTTATTTGCAACAGTTTAACAGTCATTAACCGAGCAACACCTGAAACCTTTAAATGCCACATTTTACATATATTGAAATGACAGTAAATGCAACAGTTGTTTTTGCTTGTAAGCACATGACAAAGTGATATTCATCACAGATTTGCTGGTTCTCCTCACGTTCACCCACGTCCAGGGTCACCATTCACCTGGAGCTGAATGCACTTATTCCAAGAAAGTGGAATGTAATGAGGAAATATTAATGCATAAAATAAGGAAAGGCAAAAGAGTGATGTTCCCTCTTTAGCTTTGTAGCTGTAAAATATTTAATATCCCAATATGATATACATTCCAAGTTACCTGAGTTTACACTTCGAGAGAAGTACCTGAAGCTAGGCCATAGGGTGGGCACTGTGCAACTGCTGTGGCCATTTTTTTTTTTTTTTTTTTTTTTGCATTGTGTGTATTACAGAAGTTAGAAACATAAACACCTGGATCAATTGTAAACATAATCCTGAAGTACAGTATTTTCCATAGGACACGACACAGCAAGACATTTTCTATTCAGACAGGCAACTTTTTTTTCTTTTTTTTTTTTTATATATATAGAGCTTATTTATACTGTAGAATTTGAAACAGAACAGAACACAGGACACAGTACTAATCTGGTCAAACATACTATGAAATGCATAGTCTCCACTTAAAACGCTTAATGATATATGGATTCTGCAGGCATCACTGCTTTCTCACAAAAGATGCTGAATATGGATTCTGTCCCTGCCAAGAACAGCGTAGAGATATTTTTCAGAATGCTGCTAAATACTCCATTTTGTTCTGAAAGGTTGCCACCTCATGCAGATGTATCTGAACTGTTACCTCCTCAATCCTTGCTTTGGGGCAGAGGCCTGCTCCACACCTTGGTCTAGATTAGCGCATAGCTCTGAGGAGAGGAATGCTCTTCAGTCTGAATTTCTTGCAGAAGAGGCTGCTGCTGCTGGGATGGTTGCTGTACCAAGACCTCTGTAGAGTCCATTGTGCTGGTGTCATCTGACAGAGATGAGAAAGAGACCCGAGACGAAAGCTGCTCAACAGTCAGGCTGCTCAAAGCTGTGCTTTGACTGGAGTTTGGAGAGTTCTTCAGTGTCAGGTCTGAAGCGGGAAGCAGGGGGCCCAGAAGCTTTACAGGACAGAAAGCTGATCCGGTTGGGATGAAATTAACCTTGTTTTTGTCAGGACATGAAAAGAGAGGGGTTGAGACAGGCTGACGAGACCTACAACAAGAAAAGAGATTACATACTCGGCCAACTGAGATGCTTATATGTTGTGAACTTTGTGATTCTACAGGTTGCTAAAATGTGAATGACAAGGAATGGGATTAATTGGACAGAGGGGCAAACATCTTCCATACTGGTAGTCAGCTAACTGATTCACAGCATTAAAAACAGTGCCATCACAAAAATGACTTGATCGCTACTGGATAAACATGCACCTTTCCAGCGAGACAAATCTGCAATACATATGCACGTGAAAAAATGCCATGGTAATTTAGAACGACACAATTTCTTCTTTAATGATAGCACTGCAGAAAGAACACATGTAGTTACATCAAATCTTTGAGAAACTCCACGAATTTGACCTCTCCTTTCCCATATTCCATCATTTGCTCAGAGGCTTCCTCCACAACTTAGCATTGCTCCTTCACCATCCACTTGGCAGTGAATGCTACTAGAGCAAGATCCACCCCTCCTTCATTCTTTTCATCTACAGGAGCTAAGCACGCAACCTCAACAGCATGTGTTCTAATACTGCTGAGTCTAGGGAAAAAGACATGATGTCGAAGAGTTTAATTTCTGATTTCCTGCTCAACAGCAAAACTATTGAGCAAGTTTATATCATTAAGTATACTGCCATCTAAGCACACTTTATATTATATAGATTTCATGTCATTTTATGCATTTTAAACACAAGTATAACCATAGGTTATACAAATGCAACCTATGCTCAAAACTGATTAAGAATTCTGGCAAGGAAAGTTTTTGTGTCAAACCAGGAACATTTACAAAAGTTAATACAGGCATACGAAGCGAGGTTTATAAATGCTTAGGAAATTAAATGTACCTTATCTTTTCCGCTTGGATTTTTGTTGCCTTTTATAAATGCACAGAAAGAGTTCAAGCATAAAAGACTTCATTTCCTCTTCAAATCAACATGAACACTTCAACTTCTCTTCTGTACAAACTAAGAATAGTTTGCTCCTGAAAAGCTCATCAGCTGGAATAGTTTATTCATCTGCAGTTGAATGGGCTCAGTAAACAGGTTTACTGCTTTGCAGATACCAGCTGATATAAAAGGCATTACTTACGACATTTCCTCAAAGACCTTCACTCGCTCACATCCCTCTGGGGGCTCTCGTTTGAACATGTAGCTGTTGTTTGGTTTGGGAGATGAGGCATACTTGGGCAACGGTGAGCTACTCCCACTGTCTGAAAATTTAAAGCAGTTATATTACTAGAGATTGAGAGTGTTTTTTAATTAAGCTTGCTTTCCAAACAAGATGCCTTTTGCACAGTTCAGCCGCTATGCTGGTTTGCTTCTACCACAACGATTCCTTTATCGCAGGCAATTTCTAACACCCTTGCATAGCACATTTCTTCTGAATAAAAGCCTCGGTGCAGCAGTAATCACATAACATGTAACAGGAGGATATTTTTATCCAGAACACCGCAACTGGCATGAAGAGTTGTGATCCTGGAATCAAATTGGCTCTAATTATGTATTTTAAAAATATAAATCAACACAGTAATATGCATTACACATGCAGAAGAGTTATGAGTGGTAATGATAATACCTTCTCGTTGTATGAACAGTTACTGACAACATATGCATACAGCATCTGTCTTATTTTATAACAATTCTTGGCAGGTATGCTGACCACGTTAGCTCAAATTTTGCAAAGAAACAAAGTACATTTTTAATACAGGTACTGGTATGTCATTATTATAATGTCCCACTTCATTTGCTTTACAGTTTAGTTCTCTTTAGTATCCAAAATAAAACCTCCACAATTCCACCCTCTCATCATCACTAACTATAGGATCTAGCTATTCTTTATGGCTGGCAGCTGCCTTTGTGTTTTGCAGAGGATTACTAGGCACACTTAGAAATAAAGACATGCACATCTAGGACATAGGACAGACTACACAGCAGGCAGACTTCTGCACTTCCTGGCAAGATAAGACTCAACTCTAGTGAAGTCAGAAGAATAAAAGTTTGAAAAATTCACCTTAAACAGGTGAAACCACCTTTTCCTTCATCTTGACAATGTTAACACTGAATGCATGAAGAAAATAAAGTAGGTACAAAAATAATTACTCACAGAAATTGACCCTTCTGCAGTGGCTTCTACTTTTTCTAAGAGCAAGAGGCTCCCTATTCTATGTTTGGGCTTACAGTTTAAAAAAATGAAGTGAAAAGGCAAGGTTAAGGAGGATTTACCAACTTGCAAGAAAAAGCAATGAAGAGAAATTACAGCTCCTACTTTGTCTCCTTTCAAGTGTTTCCCCCAGTTTGGCGTACCTTATTCTTTTCAACTCTGATATCTTTCTTTATTCTGCTGCTGTTCAAATGTGCCTTTTCAGCAACACTGGAAAACCAACCAAAGCTTCAAGCGTTACAATATGGATTTGCTGAAACATGTAAGGTTTTCTTAAGAATTTGCAAATGGTAACTACAAACATCTGCATAAGCATGACTCAAATACAGAGGCTAATCATTAGAGGTTTTGAACCATCAGCGTGACACAAATCAGCTCAAATGTCACATATCCTGTTTTACTGTGAGAGGTATGAGAAGATGGTCAAAGTGGACCTTTGTATAGTGATTATTCTGCTCCTGCCTGCTGCACGGTGAATACAACTTCCATTTACAGAATTTTTGGTGTTAGCTGTATGAAGGCAACAAGTCTAGAGACAATACAGATATTTGTCCTGCTGAGCACATGATGGTCTTTTGGAATCTTTCCACTGTTGGCCCTCATAGCTCATTCCGAATACAGAAATCATTAACAGAACCCAGACAGTTTGTTTCCCCCCTTCTAATATTTAAAATTGAAGATCCAAGTTTCTATTTAAAAACTCTGGGACATAAAATGAGCTACTGTTCATTCTAGCGAATACTGGAAAACTGTGGAAGTACATCCAAGGAAAGAATTAAACTGAATTCAAAGTTAAGTCAGCTCTTGGAAGATTCAGAGTGTTGTCTAGCCAGTGCAGTTTTCAATAAATTTTGGTTTGTTTAGCCCTGTTTGGCAGAAACTTTCTACATAGAACATCTGTTAAACATGTAAAAAAAAATGATATAATTTAACCAATCTGTTTCTCCCTTTGCCTCCTTAAGCTTTTAAAGCTTACTAAATGGTTAGCTTCTCACTTTGACCAAACACACACCACACTAATACTTGAAAAACACAGGAGGCTGACACGTATAAGCTCACTGTTAGTTCTTCACTTACAGTGTAATAATGGGTGTTGGTAATAAAGCCACCAGCTGTAGTGGTAAGAGGAAGTGTGAAGCTTAAGCCAGTCTACAGTCATATATTCTATCAGGTCTTAAGCAATAAATCATAACATCATTACTCATCTGCAGTGTCATTTAAGGGACATTCTCAAACAATGCTATTTATTTTTCATTTTTTTATGCTTTCTCAGAGGTTGCAATGCATGATCTGGCATCGGCACCTTGCAGACTCCCACCGGTAGGGTGTGCTCTGGCAAATTTCAACAAACTAATCACATTTCATTACCATTAGGATTGAAGATAACAGCTGTAACCTTTAAAGTGAGCTTTGTTACCATAACCACACTGAAGACAATAGGGAGCTGTATTACACAAAACTCCCGAACATAAATACTTTAAACTGACATATTCTATAATCCAGAAAATGTTTAAGTTCATAATTACACACTGAAAAATAATATTTTAACAAAAACATTTAACACCACTAACTTTAGCTTGCATATGTTACAACAAAAACAGACAGACTGAAGACAGCTTGTAAAGAACTTTTTCTTTTCAGTGACATAACTTGGCCAGTGAACCTTGGGATTTGGTTTGATACATTCAAAAGGATTTTCCAGCTCAAAAACGCCTTTGTTTTTTAAGACTACCCAAAGACTTCTCATACAATTTTCATTTTAAAAACTATGAATCAGACACCCAGAAGTTAGAAAATGAGATCCAGACCAAAAGATAGCATCTTCATGAACACATTGCTTGTTACAGCCCACTAACAATAGCAGGAATACTCAATCCTACACAAAAGTACCAGAATAAAAATTGCTAGAAAGCAGGTTACACTATTTTTACATGGGGAAAAAAAATAATAAAAAAAAAAATCACTGAATCCTTACATCTTAGGATGCCTTTGAATTTTACCTCTGTCACAGTTACTAAATATGTTGGACATGTTAGTCTCATGGAGAAGGGTATCATAAAACAGATCTAATGAAAGCAGTAGCTTTAATGGAGCAAGGCAGTCGTTTAGCTTGCAATGATAGTATTTCACAACTAAACCACAAAGCCAGGTGCCATGAAAATACATTCTCTCCCACCCTTCTTTCTCTGCTCCAATCTATACCATTTGGTATCATTACACTATTTGGAGATGCATTGTGACCCTTTTCTGAAATTTATCTTTCACTTTGTTTTGAAAAATTCAATAGACTTAGCAGCTCCTTGCAGAAACTTAAACCAAACAGCTGATGCAGTCCAAAGAGCAGCTGTGAAGGCCTCAGGCCAAAGCACAGCTTTGCACAAGAAATAAAAGATGCTTTGGAAATGTAAAGCAGCGCTGTCTGTACAGAGTGCTGGCTCCTCTCACTGCTCCTGTGTCTCAGTCAAACTGCTAACCCTCATTCCCCATACAGAATCACACTCAGGAGCAGTTTTTAAGCTGATAATCATATCTTAATGGAAAATTAAGTTATTCCGCTAGAGAGAGGAATAAAATTCCATCTTGATACAAGTAACAAAAAAAAAATCTTAAATTTAAAATGTCTAAGCTCTGGTTATATGTAGAAAAACATTTTTCAAAACTTAGCAGATCTTGCAGCAAAGTTACATAAGTTATACTCCAGCACAACAGAATCCTTTAAAATGAGCACACAAGAAGCTTTGTTTTATAATGTAGTTAACATCAATAACAGATGTTAATAAAATCGCTCTCAAAATCCTTTTCTTTCCTTACAATTTCTACCTATATCATTCACTTGGCTATAATTTAACTCTTCTGACCAACCAGTGATAACGATGATCTGAGAGTGAAAGGCACACTTCCTAACAACTGATGCTACTTTTACAACCTCTGAACAAAGTATTTGCTCCTGGAATACTGCTATGTATTTTTCTAGTTTCTATCTTGCCCTTAAAGAACAAAGTTGCAATGAGGAATTCAAGCTTTTATTTTTCATAAGCAAGGTATCATAAAGCCTAAGCTAATTTAAAAACATAATTATGTTAAACTCTAGAAAGCTTCCTGTTTATCACCAACACCTATATACACACACTTTTGATACAAACCTAAAGCCAGTCTTAAGATTGAAACTACCAATACATATCTATCTACTCATTGTGAAGTTCAGTAATGGATTTTACTCCAGTGAGCTGCTCAGATCACAACAGATGGAAGATAAAGACCTGAAAATCACTGAGAAAATTAGGTACAATATTTCAAATTATCTTCACTTGCTAGTGCCACTAAAAACCACTGAAAAACTCCAGTTACTGTAATAATTGAGTACCAATCATTCAATTTTATCACTTTTTAAGATGTGTATGTTTTAAGGACAGATATGACAAACTTACCCATCAATGCATTTCTGACTGCTTGTACTTTAGTTGATGTCTACACATGCATACTGTAAGAAAGCAAAGTAGCAGGGGGGAAAAATAATATCCACGGTTGGTTTTGGAACATGACCACCTATTGTGCTGGGATAAGACCTTAGTGATTAACTTACAGGCATCTTCAGTATAGGATCTAGGGAAAGTAACACTTCAGAAATAAAGACGATGATCAGAGGGCTGGAGCACCTCTCCTGTGAAGAAAGGTTGAGGGAACTGGGCTTATTTAGCTTGGAGAAGAGAAAACTCCGGGGAGACCTCATTGTGGCCTTCCAGTACTTGAAGGGAGCGTATAAACAGGAGGGGGAATGACTGTTTACAAGGGTGGATAGTGATAGGACAAGGGGGAGTGGATTTAAACTGAGAGACAAGGTTTAGGTTAGATATTAGGAAGAAGTTTTTCATTCACAGAATGGTGATGCATGGGAACAGGTGGCCCAAAGAGGCTGCGGATGCCCCATCCCTGAAGGCATTCCAGGCCAGGCTGGATGTGGCTCTGGGCAGCCTGGTCTGGTGGTTGGCAACCCTGCACATAGCATGGGATTGAAACTGGATGATCTTTGAGGTCCTTTTCAACCTAAGCCATTCTATGATTCCGTAATATAATTTCTTCTGCCCCAATCTTATTCCCTTCCGCTCATCACTTAGATGTAAGATTACTTTAAGGATGATCAAACAGAAAATAATTACAGGAAATGCTTAAATCTTAACTCGCAACCTCAAAATACTGTTGCTTTTAGCTCATTAGTAAATTTATGCCATATCAAAATCTTAGCTTTCATTTCCTGTGAACATACTGCTATTAGCTTGTACATCTCTCCCAAATGTATTTTTCCAAAATAAAGCTCATATTTACATTGATTAAAAGCTCAAGTCTAGACAACCAGAAATCCAAGAATCATTTCATTAGTAAAAAGAATTTTTCAAAATCAATCTCTTTATGATGGTGCTTCATTTTCACACTGTGTGTCTTGTCTGTAAATTAACTCTTTATTTCTGAAACTCCAATTTACTCCCTCCATAAAGCTACTTTTTTCAAACTTAGACAATAAACTGAATATTGACATATAAACACACAAATCACACTGAATTTTTCTTTTGTTAGATAACATACGCAGACATATAATTACTCTCCATCAGATTTTTTCAAACTCAGATATGAATTCCTCACCAAATAGCTTCAAATGGGATATGACTTCAGAAGCAGAGTACTTATAAAATAGTCCAAAAACTCACTGTTTTGATCAGTAAATAACTCACCCATGATGAATACACAGTCTATCACAAACCTTCTTGAAACCCTTCTGAAACAAACATGTTACAGTTCTGAATTCTTTGCATTTGAATCTTCATAAATGGTTAAAACTGTTTGCTGTGCTCCTCTGACGTATTTATGGAAGATGTTTGTGAAGTTTCACAAACAAGAGGGAAAAAGATATGTAAACAAACAAAACCAATTTTAAGATAAATTCTCAATCCCTCCACAACAATCAAACAAAAACAAAAACTGATGTAATGAGTAAAATGAAGATAACTGTAAAAGCAGGACATCACATGCCTCCCATAGGTAAAGGTGGGCCATTCTACTCTCACCTTTATCACGGTCATAGAGTAAGTCTTCTGTTGAGCAAGGACTCCCATCCTGAGATTCAGGAGGGCAAAAGGGAGACACACATGGTGAATGGCTGCTGCAGCTGCTGCTGCGCTCCTGCACAGACGGAGTCTGAGTGTCAATGCTTCGTGTACTACTGCTACGATAGTGAGCAGGTAGTGGGGCCCTTCGACCATCAGGGATATCCAAAGGCTGCAAGAGAAACAAGCAGTTCAGATTACTGGGAAGAGTTTCAGCTAGTACTTGTAATTGAGCTAAAGAGGTAAAATCTGAATAGCTCATTTTTGAAACAACTTCTGTGGAAGAAAATAATGCAATACAAAATGCACAACATAAATTATGCTCAATGCTGGGACAATGCACAGATTTCCCAAGAAACTATATGCTCTTATGCAGTGGAGTTAAATTAACAAAGAAGTGCACTTTGCTGTTGATCTACACTTGCCAGCATTTTTTTTAAGCATTTTTTCTAATATTTTAGAAAGGAATCTCCTCCTCAAATCAATAGATCTCATTATACAAAATAGAATAATTTTCAGTAACAGTCAACATAAAGCATAAACAAGTACCCTGACAGAGGTCACACCTGGATAAAAGGTATTTCTAACAGCAAATTATTGGCCTAACAATGAACTGAATTACAATTACAAATGAAACCATCCAAGTTTGGTTGTAGTTCTCTAGCACTCCTGTGCTTTCCAACCTTCACTTCTGTAGCTGGCCTACAACAAATTCAGAACTGAAGAAAAACATGGTTTATATAAGGTCCACAGGCTTTGTCTTGAACTGAAGATAATAAGCACTGCCTTCTCAAATCAGTTTAGTTGGCACCAGCCACAGTGATCTTGCACCCTATGCTGCAATATACAACATAGATGTTTCTAGCTTTGCTTCAGTAAGGACCATTTCAAGCCACAGAGGAATGATCAAATGTTCAAGATAGAAAATTTCAGGCCTCCTTTCTTCTCATTTCAAGTGAAGAATTAATTTTGTTTCATTTTCCTCTTTTCCACATGTACCAAAATTAGAGCAGCCAATTCCAGAGCTTAAAATTCAACACAACATGCTTTTGCTAATAAAGAGGATATGAAACAATATTCCCTCCTCAGCAACAGCCTATGTAGAAAGCCATCAAATTATACAGAGACAGACCTAGTAGAGTCAGAAAATCCTTTCCTTCTTATAAGCCTTCTAGTTAATACCATTTCACATTTCATTTAAAAGCCAAGCAATACACAATAAGGAAAACATTACTGTTGCTACATTAAAGGCTCAAAAGTTTGGATAGAGCTGTTTCAACAACTGAATTCACATTGTATATTATGACAGGACCACGTGTTGCTATTCCCATTGCCCCCAACAGGCCATGACTCATTCAATGCACAAGACAGACCTGAAGCATTGTATTGCTACACAGACAGAAGTAGAAAACAAGACTGAAGCTGTAGAAAGAAAATTAGTCTCATAATTAACATAACTAAAAAAAAATGCTGCTCTGTGTGGCAGTGTTTTTTTTTGATCTGTTTCTGGCACAAAGATTCTATGAGAGGCCAAAGTTATCTGATCCAATTCTTCTCTTTTATCATATCTTTTCTGGAAGCCCAGTCTATATAGGGCTGATTTGCAAAAGTCTTCATCATTCACAGATGGAGAAGGAAACTGAGAGTCGCACTTTGAAGTCCTAAAACACACACAGTATCCTGAGTTACCTGAAGAAGCACAGTATGAAAGCCTGATGGATTTGTGTGTCTCCATCCATAAAAAGCAAATAATATCACCTTTCTCACATAGGTGTGATAAAAACAAAACATTTCAGAGACACGCTTACTATATAGTAGGAAAAAATTCATGAAGGAATTCATATTTTTGGCTTCAAAGCAAGGTTTAGTAGTGAACATTGACACACATCTAATGAGGAGAAAACACCAAATGGCTGCTCATTAAGTGCACATACTATAATCTACATAGCAGGTAAAGCACAGATTCCAGGGAGAGAATAAAAACAGTAAATAATCACATAGTTAAAGACTTCAGGATAGCACAGATTTCCACACCTGAAGAAACACCATAGTCTTATGTAGTCAAGAAGTATATCCCAAATCACTTATTTCAGCCTCTGCTGAATCAAAATTGAAGGCATAGAAAGTCACCTGCATTTTTCAATATGCCTCTAGAAATACATGCAAGTATAAAAAGCTACATATTTATCACTCTTTACAAGTAAAGTAACAGAAAAAAGCCTGAAAATGCTTCAAATTACTGTGCTTCTGTATTTCTTTCCCTTAATACTGAGCCCATTTTTTTTTTTTTACAAGACCATAAGCCTTTGTGAAAAATATCAACTTGAAATACTCAATTTTTAAACATGATCAACATGAAAAAAGACTTCAGAACTTACTTTCCATGAGTCATGCCTAAACTATTTTAAAAACTGAAGTCCTCACAATCTTAAAGCACAAGAAATAGGGTAACTATAATTGAGTACAGCTGCTACTAGTTGTCATACTTCTCAATGCATGGAAAATGGCTGAAAATTACAGAATTCTGTATACTGTTCTTTTCTGCAGGAGGATTCAGTCATGTACTAATTCTATTCCAAAGGCATTCCAACAAAACACCCAACCACCACTATGAGACAGTATGTTCCTGGATATAGTTATAAACTGTCCTTATACCTCCCTGCAAAAGTATGGAAATGGTCTATTTAACAACAACATGCACTTCTTAATGCAATTAAAGATCACCAGATTTTTTCAGTATCAATCAAATTAAAACTGTCCTACAGAGTAGCATCAGGAATTCTACTATGACATAATATACCAATAGGAACCTTACACATAATCCATTTCTCACACACCTTACATCTATTTAAGAGGCATTTTCTCCAGAGTAAAGCATTCAATGCTTTTGATTTAAAAACTATTCTCCAGACTGGAGCACAAAGGCAGAGATAGGAAATTGCTTCTGCCTCCTAGCATAAATACAGTCACCAATGCATTAGATTGCACGAGAGTGCAAAAATCCATCACATATCCTGAAGAGACTGTTCCTTACAAGGAGCATTCAGAAGAATAAAATCCAAAACTTTTCAGATGAAGGATATGAAGATTAAGGTATAGACCCTGTGCAGCTGTTCAAATTAGAAAAACAATCAAAAAATTATTACAAGGCTGAATTTTCTGATAGGTATGTATAAGCATTTTACTACCTATTTCCAGAAGCAAAAGAAATTAAGCAAGATACTGTGGTGAGTTGGGGGTAAGTTGGGGGTAAGCTCATCAACTGATTGTTCAAAGTCTCCAACATTTGTGTTGCAGAAACACAATAGGACAAAGAATAAAGGCCAGACAACTTCACAGAAAGCTGATTCTCTTGTACAATTTATAGTGGGCACAGAGACAACTACAATTTCCTGGAAAGCTGGTCACCAAATTATGAACCGGGAAGGAAAATATATCCAGAATCTTTGAATAAAGACATTAGAAGATGAAATGAAATTTTTTAGTAAACCTGAGGACAAAAATGCTATTAAAAAGGGACTCTGGAACTAACTGCCAACTTTAACTCTGTTTTTATGAAATAAAAATGAGAATGCCTTCAGCTAGCTAAGCAAGAGAGATGATCTGAAAAAATATACACACATGTGACCAAACCAAAAAAGAAGTGCTTGAAATGCTTTGACCACATATCACTAAACTTCACAGTCAATTAGATTATTAAAAGAAAGACCTAATGACATTACTGTACCATCCATTATCTTTATGAAGCATGTAAAAATAACAAGGCTAATCTCTCCACAATTACCCTTCCATGAAGTAAAACTCCTATTATTAAAATACCGTGGGTGGAAAAAAGTAAAGAAGGTTTCCAAAGAATTCATTTAGCAAAATCAGCAAAAGATAGAAAATATATTCCAAATCAATTCACACATTTTTAAAAAGTAGGACAGCCAAAATTCAAGTCAGCAAAAGGGAAAATAAAGTATGTAATATCCTACCCCCAAAATCAAAAAAGTATAAAAAATGAAATCTATTTGTGCATCTGAAGACTAAAGAAGGTGTGAATGTGAGAGGAAAGTTCCACGAGTTTCCAATTTCAACTGACAGCTAAATTTAAAATGTAATTCAAACATTCATAAAACCAGGTCTACTTTAACCATAAGCTTACTTCTGTCCCATGCATCACCTATTTGTAGGTGATAAACCTAGAAACAGTTTGTTTCTAAAAATTCACAAGTTTATACTGAAGACATGAAATAGTGACAGGAAAAAAAAGTCAAGAAAACTAAACTATAATTTTTTAAGAGTTAACCAAACTAAGGTGCATTTTGTTTTACTTAAGATATTCCAAACATGCTTATTAAAAGGAAACTGATGAGATCAGAAAGCTATTAATGTACTGGCTAAATCTGAATACAACTTAAGATAGTAAACTGCATCTAAAAAAATGAAGGTAACTACTCTACGACACATTTTACGTTTTTCCCCCAATATTTCCTACCACATGAATTTAGATTCACAATAGGCCACAAGTGTTTTAAGCAGCTAAATTGATTAACACGAAGTTTTAAACATGCGCTTGCTGAAACTAGGAAGTAAATTTAGAAGCAGATTAAAAGAAACCAGTTGAGAATTGAGATGCCCACCAATATCAAAAGCAACCTCATAATGAAATTTGTCCTTCATGTATCGCCCAAGGCAACCACTTACCTTTGACTGTTTCATCTTTTTTTAAAATAGAATGTTACAACCAGAAAGAAAGACAGAAAATTGAAAGAAAAACAAATTGTTTCACTAGCAGTGAAACTAATGAAGTTTGGATTCCTATGGTTTATCTTTTGTTCGGTAATTCCTAACACTTAACCCAGCCACCCAACACCCCCTGGCTAAAAAGAAGCTCAATTGTTGCAGTTGGAGAAGGTTCACCAGCGGTAAGATTTACTAAATCACCTTTATTATGATCTTCCATAAGTAAACTGAGATGTAACAAGCTCTAAGACAGTGCTAGGAGTCCCGTTTTTGGTCCCACCAGAAGAGATCTGACAAATTAGCAGTTATATAACAGGAAACAACCCTTTGCCCACAGAGATGGACTTCGAGGGCAACGTCTAATTTATGACTTTCTTTTGTGTCTGAAGATTCTACCCAGCTAGATGTTTAGATGACGGGTTCACTATTGCCTTGGTTGTGTAAACTGCTGAGCATATCTGGCCTCAGTCCAATAATGCACTTAAGAATGTGCCTAACTGTTTGGCTGGGTCAGAGCCAGTACGTTCAGTAACTTATAAGACTGGGTTCTGCATCTGAAGTAATAAGCTGTTAAAGCCTAAGGACAACACTTATAGAGATGATTTGTCTGATAAATAAATTAAATCTCCTCCACCACAAGAGATCACAACTCTAGCCATATCAATATCAATAGTGGCAATACAATATGTACTTTTTCATACTCTTAGGAGCTAACAGAGTTTATTGATTTGGACTTCCAGGGTTTCTTGTTTGTTTTTCTCTCTACTCCCCCTCTTACAACATAGATTCTTATAAAGGGATGAGACTGCTTTGGGAAAGCCAATCTAGCATGAAACATTTCCTACTGAGGTATTTCATTCAAAGCACAGCTAATTCTCTGGAGAAGCCAAGAATATTCCAAAGCTTTTTTTTCTTTTTTTTTTTTTTTTTTTTTTTTTAAGTTTACTGCCATAATGAAGAAACACAAATATCAGATTTTGGAATCTTATACCTCTGATTAAAGTTTTATAGCTTGATTTGTGCACTGAAGTGCTATTAGAAGACAATTCACAAGTAAAAAAACCCTGCAGTTTAGAGAATTAGAAAAAACAGCAGTTGATCTCACAGCAAAGCATTTTCATTGGCTATTTAGGAAAGGGTGGCTGCAAAGTAAGCATTTCACATTTTAAGTGTTATTTAAGCACTCCAGTACTTTTCAATGAGAATTCCAACACTCCAGATCTCTCATATGTACAAGCTGAGAAGCCTAGCTTATATTTCCCATATGGAGATCCCCCATTACAGATCAGTGTTTTAAGGAAGTAAAACAGTTCACATTCAGTTTAGTTTATGGAAGAAATGCATTAAAACCAAATAGCTCAGCAGAGCACAGGAAACCTAAGTCTTACCTAAGACAAAGCATGTAAAATAAAGCAAATAAATTAATCTCCCAGTTTCTACTTACTATGAAAATTCAAGTACATACATTTCTCATAAAAACTTATAAGTTCTCTAAGGAAAGGTTATTCTAAATAAAATGTTTGCCTAAAAGGCTTTTAAAAACAAACAGAAAAACAAGCAACCCTGAATACTGAATATTGAAACAAACTTTATTTAAGCAGACTGAGGAAAATTATTAGTAATTTCTGCTATGAGGGAGTTTTCTCATGTGTTCGTACATTACAAAGAAAAAGCCACTATAGACACATTAATATAAGCTTACCTTGGATATCTCTTCTTTTCCACTATTTTCCTTAATGAACACTTTTTCCAGTTCAGGGCTTATTCCTTCTACATTACATGGCACACGTGAAACAGTTGATTTTGGCACTGAAATGTTTGACAGTGGCATAGGGACTGATCTGGAAATAGAAGCCTAGAAGGTAGAGAGCCACATGATTTGAAGTTGGAAAACAGAATAAAACAGAAGTATGAGATTAGCACTAAAAAACCTAAAGATGGTGAATTAAGAAACTGTATTAATTTTGCCATCTAGAAGACTATCTTTACTTGGCAAATTTAACTAAAAAGAAGCATTTGCATAAATCAAAGGCCATTAAAATCACCTCTTCTTGACTCACAAGAGTTCTATAATAAAAACATTCTACTACCTCATTTATCAGTAGGTAGGCAGGTATATGCTCTTTCCAGATGTACTGACTACAGAATACACACTAGGGGATGCAGTGTGCTGATGTAGGTGGTTTAACAGTGATCCAAAAGGCATTTCGCAACATTCCTGAAGCTTAACCACTCAAATGAAAAATCTACTTACTGCACTTCTAACCTCTTTTGGTTGGCCTATGTTAAAGAAAAATAAGGCATTCATTCTAAACCTCTAATTTCATTAGCTTCTAACATTTCAGAACTTTGTGTCAAAAATCTTAAGAGAAAACATTTGGAGTTTAAGAATCAAGCACGTAAAAAAAATAGAAATATGGTTTTCAGAAAAAAATAAATGAGTGGAACTCTGTTACTAGAAGGATCCATTCACAAGAGCACGTGTGTCTTGCACAGTCAACTCTGAAGATTTTAGCTTGGCAGCAGCTGCACCTACACTGACAGTCATAAACAGCATTCAATTCCTAGTATATATTTTCCTGCTGTTCACAGAATCACAGGATAAGAAAATGTAAAACATACTGATGGACTTCTCTGAGAGATTACTTGAATGAAACTGACTCTGAGTAACCTGATGTAGATGTCCCTGTTCACTGCAGGGGAGCTGGATTAGATCACCTTTAAAGGTCCCTTCCAACTCAAATTTTGTCATTTCATGATTCTATGAATCAGCTTGCTGGGGGAGGGGCTGTTGTGTTTCCTGGTTGTTGCTTTGTTTTATTTTGTTCTGTTTGTTGTTTTTTGTTGCTTTGTTTTTTTGTTTGGTTAGGCTTTTTTGAGCTCATCCCAAATGAACAGAATAGCATCCCTTGGAGGTCCCAGGAAAAGGAAAACTTCACTGGCCTTGCTAAACACATTCTTGAGAATCCAAAACATTGCATGAGTGAGTTCCAAGTGCTAAAGAATGTTACATCAAGCATACATCTTAGGTGGATTTCAATTTGTGACAGACTGTTTTTACTATAAGTAGTGGCACAGATACATGCAACAGCTTACATTGAGATTGAAAGTAAAATCCTTTTCTATTAAAAAAAACGCAGCAAAGCTTTTGTCATAGAGACATAAATGTTTCAGGAAGAACATCACTTTCTTACACACCTTCATCACGAGACCAGTTTTTAACCACTAGAATTTATCCAAACAGAAGAAGGAACATAAAGGAATCAGCCAATGTGAACAAATAATCATCATGGCACAACTTCTTTTAAAAACACTATTTTAAAAAGCTGTCAGGAAATACAAAGTTTCAGGAGATCAAATAGCTGCCTGTTAGCAATATGGAGACCAAGTAAAGGATCCACTGTAGGTGAAATTTAATCAGGACTCAAACATCTACACTATCAAATGAGAAAAGATAACTGCTTTTTACAAGTATCTTAAGGGTTCACAAAGTCACTAACAGAATCTCAGCTGAACTTTAGAACCAGTTTCAGTTCCACTGGCAGTTTGTGACACAGAACAGACTCTGTGTGAGGCATCTTCCATTGCACCCTGCTAAGAATCAGGCTCACGCTTGGGTAATTCACCCAGGCAATTTCTCAAAGCTATTATTCATAGTGTCAGCATCTTCCTTAATATGAGAAAGACACTCTCAGAATACAGGCAAGTTTTTGTAACTGATGCATGAAAGGATCTGAAAATCAAAGCTGTCTTAGCCAGGCTAATGCTAAAACAATCAGCTCTATTAAGATTTGCATAAATTTTCAAATCATTTTAGATAAGTAATAACAGAAAACAGAAGATGTCAGACTAGGAGCCTGAGCTTTACTTTCTTTTTACAGAGAATTTAAGGGATTACAGCATCCTATTTCTGAATCACCAAGAGGTGTTTCCTCAGGTATACACAGCCTGACGAGATCAGAAGATACATCAGAAAGAAAGAAAAAGGAGAGCTGGTGTAATAAACTCACCGCTAGAGAAGAATTCATCATACTGCCCACTGACTGTCATTGCATTGCTCACTGATATAAAATATGAGAACGCTCATCAATATGATCTGGACATGATAGAAGCTCTCAACACAAACTGTAACATAGCAATGTTGTTCTACCTCATGTAAGGCACTACTACCACAAAGAATTATGTGAAGGTTCTCATCCTAGAACACAGAATCTTTTATTGACAATGATTCTAGACTACCATAACAACCAAAAGGTATGTCCTAGGCAAAGTTATGAAGATGACTCATATCCTGTAGTGTGAAAGATAAACAGCCCTCTATTTCCAGGGATGGGATAACGGGTAAGCATCATTGATTTCAACCGAAATTAAATTTAAGGTGAATTATCGTCATCCTTTTAGAGAGCAGACAGGACAGTATTTTTTTCTAACTTGTCAACCACAGGGAATCATTGCTTCTCTGGCCACAAATTAACCAATAAGCAAATTATCAGAAAAACTCCTAAAATGGACAAGGAAATGAGATTGTTCTTCAGTTACTGGATGAAGCAATGCTCCAGTCTTCTACCGATGAATACACAATAAGATGAATTATAAGCCTATTTGCAACAAATCAGTTCATTTCAGAGAAGCAGAAAACTGGGTTCTGTAATCTCAATGCAAATTCCTCCTAAGAAGTCCCGTTCAAAGTTCCGTCTGCTGCTTGAAGACTTACCAATTGTTGAGCTGACAATCCAGACTGCTTACTTTTGGTACATTTTATTTATTTACCTATAAAATGAGCTTAGATGAAATTGGGCTGTGTAACTGATAAGCAAAAACCCTCCAGAGGAGCAGAGACCTTTGAAAGCGTACCACGAAAATTAGTCTTAGAAATATGTATTCCTAGAAAGATAGTCTTATCTGGCCACGCACAGAATTTTTACAGCATCTTTATTTTAGTTTATATCCTGCTGCAGCCCCTCTTTCTTTTATTATATGATGGTTATCAGATAAAATTCAGTGTAGATACAACGGTATCAGGTTGCTAAGCATTTCAGTGTACCACATAAGGAAGCAAACAGAAGAAAGATGGGAAGAAAGAGCAAGCTACTCAACCAACACTGATAAAACAGGAGACTGTTAATATAAGCAGCTGTCTACTTACCTGAGTCTGACTGATTGCTATATGGTTGCCATGGAGAGGTGACTGACGTTCTTTCTCTTTACCATGACGACTGCTCTGCTTACTGCGCTGAAGCTGCTGTCTCAGTTTGGCAATCTGCTGGAAAGAAGTTCAGGTGAAGTGATTTATGAGTTATCAAAAGAATATCTGTTTATATTTTCCTTTATGAAGTGAATCACAGATGTTTTTAAAGTCCTCTTTAGAGAATTTTACAAGCATAGTGGATTGTCCACCTCTGAGGTACGAACATTAAACTCTCTAACTGCCTGCTAGAGGCTTTCTCCAAGGTAACTGCCCTATTCACCAACCTGCATATGCAAGCAGGCTTAGTTTACTAATAAACTTCCTCATTTACAAGAAAATACTGTAATAACTGATGCAAAGTATCCCTAGTAACAATTTATAACAATTTCTGGCCTATAGCTACCTTAAACTGAGGGACTGTGAAGCCTACAGTCAAATTTATTTGACCTAGAGCCAAAGTGAAGTTTTCCAATAATAATTAAAACAAAAGAACCTCTACAAACAACTGTCAATCAGTATGTATTGCTTCATCTTGGAGAGCTTAATATATTTAATTGTATTTCCCTGCAGGCTACATTATCACAGATTTCTTCAAGTAGACAGAATTATCTTTCCTGATATCTGTTGCAAAGATGTATACGCAAACTATATATTTTAAAGGTCAAATGCAACTACAACCATTATTCACTTAACCTGCTCCTTAATAGAAATCAAAGCGCTTAATACAGAAATTTTTTCACTTATTCCCCCAAATAATTTCTACATGAAAGAGCACTTAACTCCCTCAGTATTGTTTGAGAAACTTAGATGATATGCAAATTTAGACAATAGGTACAGACACTTCCTTAAACCAGGGTACTTTTATTTCTTTTCCTTCATGTTCACTCTCTTTCACAATCAGCATGCTGGCATAAAAGGCAATACATGCAAGTCCTCACTTCATTTTAAACACAGCTAGAGATACAGTCTAAAAATCTGAAGTAAGGAGATATGAACACACATGGAATTCATAGTTCAAAGAACTTCATCAGCTGGAAAGTATCCTCTCTCTGAGTTGAGACTACTTCAAGTGCATTCACTCTGTGGTCAAGTCCAAGTAGTTAAATATATCTCTAATGTCCTTGCAAAAAAGCAGCACTGTGGTAAAGAAACACTTCACATCACTTTTCAGCATCAAGAGCTGACAGTGCTCAGTGAAGGCTTTGATAGAGCCTGACTACAAGCTTTGGAATTTTCTTGGTTTTGTTTCTAACATCACTCACACAACAGATCCACCTTAAATGTTTCACATCAAGTATTGCCATACTTCATAATCCATATTCAAAGAACTGCTACTCAGAAATGCTTGGCTACTCCTAATCTTCAGTAACAGAAACAGGTTAGATTTCCAAATAGGTCTTGTCGAATACATCAAGATAGTTCAACACAACCAAGTTTTTAATGAAAATGTGCTAAAGAATGAGAAATCTCTTGAGCAAAGGTGCCACTCGGGCACTACGAAACTTTGAATGAATTTGAAGAGATACCTCAACTCCACCAAAAAAAAAAAAGTCCTGAACTACTCGATTCTCCATGTAAGAGTAACATTAAATAGGAAACTCAGCTTAACAGAGAGATGAAGAAAGTAACCAGTTTGTTAAGGGAACATGAAAGTATATCTACAACAACATGGATCAAAAATGCCAGAGAAGTGGGCGTGTAGGGAAATGATAATCTTTAAAAAGCAGAACAATAAAGAAATGAAGCCCAGACTAGAAGACAGTCATGGATTGAAATGGGTGCTTACAAGAATACCCAAAAAGCAAGGACACAAGGCAGGAAGAATGCTGTTTTAATTTCTGTTGCCTTTCCCTGATGCTCTGGGCTTCTTCCTACTTAAACAGTTAATTACCCTATTTTTTATTTAAATGAAATCTAGCTTTCTGAGTTTTCCTCAGGAGCATGCTAGAAAAAAAGATTAAAAAAAATTCACCTCAGAGCTCTGACTCAGATTGCAAGCAGCTCATAAGTCTATAAGAAAACATAGCCACTCTGTAAGATTTAGACAGTGAGAACACTCCAATGGGCTAACACATCCCTACATTCTCCAAAGTATGAAGCTATGATCTTCTGAAAGGAATCATGGTCATCTAGATGGAAAGTTTCCTCAGCCACTTGCAGAGTACGTGTATTTTGGCATTCGATAGGTACATAACAATAACAAACAAAACGTTTGTTAGGTCACTGGGGAAAAAGAGAAAGATGAAAATTTGTTGAAGAATGTGACTTTCTGTCTGGAATCACAATGTGGCCATTTAAGACAAATACAAAGTGCAGTGAATAAATAGACATGCTTTCTCAGATCACATCCTAGCCCTGAATTTGATGAACCCTAATTTCCCAAGAACCCTGTCTTTCTCTGATGCAGTAGTTAATATCAGATAAAAGAATGAGAAAGTAATAATGAGCACATAAAAAGCAACCTGCCATTTCTTATTCATCCTCTAGACACAGGAGACAGGCTTGCCAGCACAGGCTACCTGAATTCATAACAGCCATAGTAAGCAGTATGTAGTGCCAAGTATGTGGGCAGAAGAATCCTCCAAACCAAATGGCACTCCATTTCTTCACTGAGAGTACACAGTGAATCTACAACTTGCCAAAACTAATCTTGAAATCTCAATTGCTTTTTTTCTTCTACAAAATCATCTTTTTATTGCTAAGTGTCTTCCTTCTTTACCAAACTTGAAGAAAACCACTCCTTTTAAGAGGAAGAGGAAGCTGTGCTAACTTCCAAGAACCTTAATTAACTAGGAAGCTAGAAGTCTTCTTTCTAAGCAGCAGAAAAGCATCATTAGATCATCAAACATCAATCAAAATAAACTCCAGATATGTAAGTGATACACTAATCCAAGAAAAGCAGATAAAAAAATCATTTTATGTATGCTTTTTAATGCTTCTTCAATGCTTTGGAAGAAAAAGCAAAACACTTGCCTGGGAGCCTTACTCTGAGAATGCACCTACTTCTTGAAAAAGCCTTTTCTTGGTGAAGCTTGGGCAAACTGAAAATTTTGCTAATGTTTGAGATACATGTTTGGAACTGGCAGCTTGTTATGGTTTAACCCAGCAGATGCCTAAGCACCACACAGTCCTTCGCTCACTTCTCCCCCTTCCCAGTGGAAGTCAGCTGTCCTAATTTTGTTCCCTGGTAGTTCCTTGGGCCCTTTATAAACACTGGTGTATTATCAACATTACTTTTCTCCTAGAACCAAACTGTAGCACCATACCAGACACCTTGAAGAAAACAATTCCATCCCAGATGAAAGTAAGACACAGCTACATTTGCTAGTATCAGTATCTTTCTTTATCAGAGTCTGTTGTGATAGAACAAGAAGAAATGGTTTCAAACTAAAAGAGAGAAGATTTAGATTGCATATAAAGAAAAAGTTCTTTACAATAAGAACAGGAACAGGTTGCCCGGAGATGGATGCCTCATCCCGGGAGACATTTGAGGTCAAATGGACCAGGCTCTGAGCAACCTGATCTAGCTGCAGGTGTCCCTACTCCCCTGCAGAGGAGTTTGACTACACAATCTTTAAAGATCCTTCCAACTCAAACAGTTCTATGATTCTATCATTCTCTACTGGACTTTAGATCTCAATAGAACCATCTCAGAATTTCAGCTTCCAGAAAATGCAGATTGACAAGTCACAAAAAAGTGGTACCAAACAAAAACTCTAAACACTCAGCATGCAGGCATTAAGTAGTTTGGTGTAGGAAGGTGAACGACTTGCATGTCCTTGCAAGTATCTCACACAGACAGGGAATGGCTGGACAGATAGGCTAATATCAGGACTTATAGGTAAGGGGAAAGAAAAAATAAGGGGTAAAAATAGAAGCCAAACAACAGAAAGATAGAACAGACAAAGAACAGGAAAGTAACTGAGGAAGTGCAAAAGTAAGAGAAGAGAGACTAGAATCAGCTGAAAAACGTATGCAGAATGACACTGGGTCTACAAATGTGGAAAAGGCAACAAAAGTGTTGAAAAGCTGGAGGCAGAGAAAGAAAAACAGAAGAAGGGAAAGAACCAGAAGCTGAAAGAGATGAGGGCAAGTTTCAGCATGAACAATTCTTGCAAGATTTGAATAGAAACAGTTTATTTCCACA